GCCGTTGGGAAAACTGCCGCAGGATGTAAAAAGGACTGGACACAATACAGGGGATGTATTGCAGGGGACATAGAAAAGTTAGGAGGGTCCTGCGATGAATTCGATGTTATTAGACTGTCTTATTGATGTGACATGGAGTCGTTGTTAAATTATCATTCCGTTTGTGATATCGCACGATAATTTATTATTGTTTGATTAGTGAAATACGTTGGATATATGTATGTATCAGTATCGGTAGATTGAGAGATAAAATGCAATATTATTGGGAGTATTATGGATTTACATACAAGTAATTAATGATGACAGTTAATAATGTCGTTATCTTAATTGATAGTAAAATAAAGTGTATTTGATAATTACTGCAGATAGTCATATTTCATATATTTCTTCAAATATTATATAAAGTTGATCAATATTCACTTATGTTATTTTTATTTTGTAATAATGGTATCTGGTGGTGTAATTGTAACATGACTACAATTGACATTACTGACAACATCCGCTTTCTTCATTATTTAGGTTGAAGTCAACTGAAACAATAAAATACTGTCCAGTTGAACGAATAGAACATATCCTCAACACATTTTTCATTGAAAATACCAACAACATTAATATCTATCTATCTTTATCATTGGTTTACATCTAATGCATCCTTTTTAGTTTGTTACAATCACACATTCAAGTGTTACAACTGTAACTGTAACAAATAACAGCATTAGTCAAATTTGTTTATTTGGAAAAATTTTTTCCATTTACTTTCTTTATCAGAAACTATTTTAGCTTCTAGATTTTTGTTACAATTGACACAAGTCTGTCTCTATGCTTTTATTGCTTTTGGTAGGTACGTCGTAAATTAAACAATGAAAGTACGAATACAAAGTCCAATAGTAAGCGTTACGGGGTTTCTTTAACAAAATAAAATAGTTCCTTGGTACATAAAATCTCGTAGAACTCAATTACTTACCGTTGACACTAATTTGACGTTGGACTGACTGATTACTTTAATTTCGGCTGTAAAACCAACTCAAATATTTGCAGTGCCGCGACAGGATGAAAAATCGCCGATTTCATTACATTTTAATGAATATTTTGTGCCATTGTCTGCATACACACTTGTATTTCGTTTTGCGTTTCGCCGTGGTCTTTGGGAACGACAGCAAAAGCAAAATGAGTAAACTTCAACGCCAAGGAAATCAACTGAAGGTAAATTCTGATGCAGAAGTTCAGGAAATGGATATACCGGTTTGTTTCCGTATGAACAAAGCGATCTTTAATACGAAGTTTTAAATCTTTTAAAAAAATACAGAAAAGTACTGTTATAACCATTGTTTTAGATATTAATGATCATGAAAACTATTTAGAGCTTTCAATGCAGCTACTTATTTACTAAATCGAGGATTCTTATTGAAAATCGTATTTATTGCAAGAGGTCATATGTTTAATTCTCGAAACAGTATCGTAGTAAGTTATACCAGCATATTTTTTAGTAGAATCACAGTGCACATATGGGCCTCATCCATACGTATAAACTGATCCCCAATTGGGTTTCGCGCGGCAGACAAAACAGCACTGTCCGCGATGGCGGTATTATGGCAACAAAAGGCAGACTTGAACTATAAACTTTGATAACAAATTGGCAGGCCCTGCGAAACACGATAGGGCCACCGCATTGCGAATTAATCCCGATTAAACGCGAAAACAATTAAGATTAACGACGGCAGCGCCCACCTAAATATGAACAACGCCGCTATAGTTCATGGGTAGGGGCATAATTGTTGTATGGCTTTGGACTGGCACAAACGTGCTAAAATGCGACGGCTAAATAATATATTTGTATATCCTAAAAAATTATTTTTTACTGTAATCTATGAATGTTAATATTCTCTGTACGTTGTAGATATGTTGAAAAGTTTTTTTTTTCAAAAATTATTTATTTTTATGCCTGCAAACTCCAGGTAAAGGAAAAACCTTACTTCTAATGGCATTCCCGTACATTTACAAACAGCAATTGTCGTTTTCAAATAATGAAACACTGTGGTCATAAATTTCCCGATGCCGTATTAACGGCGTTTTAGTATTTGGCGTTCCGGGTTGATTAAGTGTCAATTAACTTGGCGTTAGTGGCGACGTCTGGCGTGGCTCGGACACAATTTAGGTGCCCCGTGGAGCCCCCAACTCTTGATGGTGCCACTGATTGACACGTAATTAGGCGTCGCGTCGCGGTGGTATTTGCGATTGCATTCGTTCCGCAAACGTTGAATGTGCCGATAATAATCAGACGGTGTGTATGGGGTGGTGTATAACTCTCTTTTCGTGGAAATATACTCTCTCTCTCTCTGATAACAGTAACGCTTAAGATTAAGGAAAAATCTAGTGCCGATATATCCATTTTGCAATTCTTACATATAACCTTCATAAACGTGATCGTCGAGCATAGGCAACCAACATTGCACTATTGGCACTGTCAATTAAAAATCCCTAAACCTCAATGAATTGGTTGAAGAAATTTACTGTTGATATTAAACATACATAGTTATAAAATATAAAAATACTCTATGCTCGAGATAATGTGATCGCCCGTAACTGATTGAAATAGAATGTTGCGTTTTAAGGCAATTTTGATCTTATTGTTTCACTAATTTTTAATTTTACCAAAATTTAATTGCCAAGGTGTCTGCTGAAAGAATCTATCCCTGAAAATAATTTTGAGTCTGTAAACAGCAAATGAGATGTTTTTGAAAAGGTCATTAATAAAAATTAAATATAAAACTGGGCCGAGACTTGAACCCTGAGGATCACCCAGAAATAGAAATACTGCTACAAGCACAAGGATTTCAGTAAGTATGTATATCTAACATATTTCTCTGTTTTCAGCATTTTTTCATTAATATTATCGCGACTAACTATTTCGCTTTGAGAAAACCTGAGATTGATCTGCGTAACAGACTTTCTTGGAATAATATTAAAACCCTATGGAGAAGTTTACGATCAAATAGAAAATTCCTTTATAACGAAAATCAAAGTGACCCCTGCAGCTTTCCACATCTACCGTGCCTGGGGAATATTCTTATAAGAGAACAAAATTGATATTTTACTACCAAATGAACTTTTACCGCACGAAACAGTATGATGTATGCAACGAGTTTCCACTTTCACAAAAATATTGTTTTCCGCGACGGAAAATCATTCCCTTCTAAATTATTCATTTCTTCAATGTTTTATTATTCGAGATTCGCGTAAGCAACTGAAATTATAACATACTATCACGCTATACGGAAACCCCATGATATAACGATTTATAGTTATATAAAACCCATTGGAAAGCAGGATATAGCGTTTATATCAGGTGTAATATGTGGAATACTTTAGCAATATTCCTTTATTTATTACAAAAGCTTGTTTAATGAAGAGCGTTTTGTTTTATTCAAGTCTCAAAAGGTAATTACCCTGACACCTCTTAGGAAATCTGTACATGAATCTACCCCGCAATGCGAAAACTGTGTTTTGCCAGATGAAGTCCAACACTGATAGGGGGCGCTGTATTATATTAGGGCAGTAGAAACGGTCCCGCTGTTATTCAAAGGTGCCTGCTTGCGTTTTTCATGTAAAAGAGATCATGTCGAAAGATACAGACTACAAAAAGCTTTGGTTATATGCTTTGTTAAAAACAGAGAAAAATGTTTGAAGCTAAATGTTGGAGTCTAACTTTAGCCGACAGTATTACTATGGTTTTCCGAATACAGCAGCTTCTTTATATGCAGAATTTTTTCCGTCTCCGCGAAAATTTATAAGGTGGTTCTTAATTGTCTCTAAATATTTTCAGGGCCCATTTAACCCATGTCTTGTGGAAAGGGTAGTTCTAGGAGACGACCAATGCTACAAATAGCTGACTACGGATATTTTTACTTTTACGAGACAGTTTGGCCGCAATAAAAACGTTTAACGCTAATAAATCTTTCTGTGCGGTTCGAAGTAGTCCTTTTTCTTCCACCAAAAACAACTTGAATGTCATCATGCTCTACATAAAGACCTTGATGAGATACAGCGACATTGACTTGGGCACGTCGGACTGCTACCTACACCGCACTAAACAAACGCTGTCGAAATTCAACGGCTATCGCGATCGTTTTCCATTTTAATATCTGGTTTATTCCGACAAAGGTTGTACAACTTCTAGTATCTGATAGTAACGTTATTTAGTCACTGATGCTTGTAGGCGGATTGCACTGCATTGTTCTAGGCAGGGCGTAAGAGCACGACGGAGAATGGAGGACAGGGGTATTTTTAAGGCGATTGTTTTGAGATGTAGGTATGATTGATCGAACTGATTATTGTTGTGCAACATGGAAAGGACAACAAATTTAATGATGTCCTATAAATATTTATTTTTTTCAGTTTTTGGACGATATCTCACGAACCGTTTGAGACACATAACTCAAATTTGTACGCGCGTTATCACTTTTTCACGTTAATCCGAATTGTTAAATATTTTTAACGCATTTTGGAGCTTATTATCATTCATCACAACCACCAAATATCAATGGGACCTATAAAAAAGCTAATCACAAAGTTAGAACATCGAGATTTCAACTCACGTCCGTAACAATTTGCAATTGTGCTGAAATTGCACAGCAGGTGTCGATTTCAAAATTTTACCCTTGAATATGTAAACAACAGCAACGATAAATTCACTCTACTTATTCGCAGTTGTAAGTTGGACGAGGTTCCAAGACAGTTTAAGGTAAAATACTCGAATTCAAAGATTTATGGGACGAAATTTCGTGGGCGACATTTTTTTACGTAGTTTTCGTGCACCGGATTTGTAATCCAACCACATTTTGTACATCGTACATCGCAATGTAACGTTACGACACACCTAATTAATTCATCAAATCAAAACAATTAATGCGAACAAATCTGGGGAGGCCAAATGTATTTACCCGGCTAGAAGAACAATACGCGAAACAGGACAAGTGTCGGATCCAGTTCGACGGCAAGAATAAGGAAACGGCTGAATGCCAAGAGCCTGTTTTAGGTGTGGGCCGTGTGTGTTCGCAGGTTTTTGTTTAGTTTTTGGGTAGGGGAGGCGCACATGACACTATAAAAGCTAATATCGGCCCGTTTGTGGATGATTGAAGTTTTTTGGTTCGACGGTACAGTGAAAAATCGAATACGGCGCGATGAGGGTGAGTTTTCGTATGGATTTTGCTTTGATTTTAACCCAATGCAGTGAAAATTTATCTACTTTAAAATCTTTTGAATTTATTAAATTAAATGGCAGATCCTACGTCACGATTTAATAAAAAAAGTTGCTATAAATGTATTCAATATGTTCATTTCAAACCATTATTTAAACTATCTCGCGCTCTCTTCTGACAGATGAAATATTTTGGAAGAAAAATTATTGCAAGTGAAAATGTTTGATAAAGGCAATATTTTTAACAATATTTTTTGTTTTTTAACTTCTTATAACGACAACATACACGATGTCTTAATAAGCTATCTGGTGGTGGAATCTTTTGTAATAAAAACAGTTCCCATAAACATGGGTCGCTAAAAGCTTAGTTTTTGAGAGCACGTATTGAAAACGACTAAAAATAAATAAATGGAAACTTTTTACAAACATTTTTTATCTTTTGTAGGACCAGATGACTACGAATTGTAATCATTCAGGGGTGGGCAATAAAAGTGGCGACCTAGATAAAATTTTATCCCATCTTTCTTGATTTTTTCGATCATTTAAGTCCAAAACCTTAAAATTTGGACTAAACATTCCCATTTATACAGGGTGATTCACAAATGGTGACCGAAAACGAAACCTCGTATTCTTTGGTGATTGTTAAGGGTAGTATTTCCTATAAAGTTTTTATCTAGGACTCTTCGTTAAAAAGATACAAGGTGTTAAACTTCAGTTGGTTTCTTATGTTTTACTCAAAAATCAGTCTTTTTTCGAAAAACATAAGAGTATCTAGTAATTTGTAGAAAATTGAAAGACGAATCCGAAAATATCATGATTGTTACTGTAAAGCAGTGTTGTACTATTTTATTTAGAAAAATATGCCACCGATACCCTGTATCTCCGCCACTGGAGTATGTAAATTTTAGGAAAAGCCCTCAGATTATGTTTACATAAATACATGTATCCAATTTCGAAATATTTCACTTACTAGTTTTTAAATTATTTAAAAAAGTTAAAAATATTTTTTAAAGTTTAACACCCTGTATATTTTTAACGAAGCGTCCTAGATAAAAACTTCATAGGAAAGACTCCCCTTATAATTCACCGAAGAATATGAGGTTCCATTTTTGGTGACCATTTGTGAATCACCCTGTATAATTTTTTTTCTAGATTTGCTTATTTTATATGAAACACCCTGTATATTCGAGATAATCGACATTTTATAAAAATTTTGACACATGCAAGCGTTTCGAAAATTCTTTATATCTTTCTTTGTTCTGGAAGCAAAATTATCTGAAGAAAATTATACCAAGTATCCTATTTTTACGTTACATTTTGAACACTTAAAACCGACAAAACTTTTTAAATTCAAATACAAAAAAATATAGATAGATAGATTTATTTGACCATTTGATAACATTTATGTCAAGTCAGAATATTAAAAGTTACGATTTTTTTCTTTTTCTTTTATACGTATATGGTTGAACTTAGGGGTGGTTTTTCCTTCATTTAGGGATATTTTCCTTCAGATCTAGTGATTATGGGTTGGGTTATTAACATATAACAGAAAAAGAAAAAAAATTGTAACTTTTAATATATTTCATTTTCAGGCGTTTAGGGGATGATTTCACCCCTTTAGGGATATTAAGGGTTGATTTTCAATCCGGACAAGGCCGTATCAAATACGAAATTAGATATTTTCACGTTCATAATATTATTTTGATAACAACATAGAAATATTTGAGGTTTTACAACTGTTGTTGATTCTAATTTGGTCACTTTATTTTGTCTTTTCAAAAATATTTTTAATTAGACCATTTTATTTAAGTACCTACTTTCAGTAATTTTAAAGAATAATTTTTAAAATCTTTGTACTCTATCAGGTATTTTTTTGTACTTTTTGTAATTTCATACATACTTTTTGTAATTTTTGTAATTTACCAAAAAATTTGGTAATTTTTATACTTTAATAAATAATTACAATACTTTTAAAGTAATTTTAAATTATAATATCTCAAACGTACACCAAAAATTACTTGTGGCACACTCCTCGCAAATATTGGTACTGTCATTAATTGAAGTTGAAAGTTTAAAGAAAAATTATTATAATTTAATTTAATTTTTTTTAGGTCCTCTACTGTGTCTCCGTACTCTACATCATAGCCCTCGCCCACTGCGGTGTCCTCACCCAAATTCCTACAGCGGTCACGACCTCCCAGAGAATAGGCGGCAACTTCGCTTACAGCACCGTAGAGAGCGCTGCCGTCCCCTCGATCGTGCACAACGCCGTACCCATCACCTACGCCACTGCGCCTCTAACCGTGGCCCAACCGCTGTACACCCAGTCGATCTTCGGATCGCCTTTCCTCAACCCCATCATCTCCTCACCTTTCTATCCAGGAATAGTGGGTCAAGCCCCCGTTATAGGGCAAGCCCCCATATTTGGTCAACCTGGCGTAGTGGGTCAATTACCCGGACAAGGTCAAGGCCCTATTCAAGCTCCCGTAGCCGCCCCGTCACCGGGAAGCCCTCAGGGGCCCGCACCTCCACCACCTGGAGCCACCGTTGATGATGACACCGTGTCCGTGGAGTCGGCATGATTTATTTGTATATTAGTTTTTTTTAAATAAAGGTTTGTGTACATTTTTAAAATTGAAAGTCACCCAAGGCAACATTTGATGCTTAAATAAACTAGGTTTTTTGTTTTGATTGCGGTAAACTATGGTAGTTTACAGCAAAGCGTTCTTTATGTATTTTGGTTAGATGTGTTACAAAATGGTTGCGTGTTTCTTTTTTAGAGACCGTAGATAAGTAAAATTGTATAATAAATCCACAAAAATGCTATTTCCAAACTGTATAGTACAATAGTTAAAGAATTCGTTCGAATTAGGTACCTTTTTCACAAATAAACAAATATACCATGTTTTCGAGTTTTTAAAATTTTTTTCTACGCTCGCTACATAAGTTGCTGAATTTTAGACATAACCTTTTGCCACGGTAGAAGATTTGCATCCCTTGTGACGCTTCGAACGTGTGAAATTTCTCCATCTATGCAACTGAAAATGTACAATATTTGAGTCATCTAACTAACCCTATATTAAATCCAAAATATGATTTTGTTACAAGAAATTTGAGTGGCCTATTTCTTACATTTTGGCGACGGTATAGTGTTAGAAATCTTTAACGATAATACCTATCTATTTTTGCTGAAATAGCTATATTTCTTCAATTTTTATTTGATCTATTATTAGTCTTTGGTCACGAAATGGAAATGACGGATAAACAAGGAATAATTGATAAGTATGTTCATGAAATCAAACACGCGGTTGATTATGTTGAGACAGTTCGTTTGTTTCCTGTTTTTGTTATCATGTGGGCCACAATCCGCTTTAGTTATGAAAGCGGTTTCCTCCCATTGCTCGTTATCGCGAGTTCCAATCGGCGTGGTTAAAAGTAAGCCATTACATAACTTCTTTTGTCTACGTCGGCGAAATTCGCTTACAAATGAGTGATTTCTTAGCTGCTGCAATGTAAAAATGCATTCTTAATTATGAATTTTTTACGAAAACTGTAAACGTAAGGACATAATTGAAGTGTGTATAAATAAACGTTGGTTTCATGCATTGACGTTATTAAATTTTTCATTATCCACCTTTCCATTTAATTTTTTCCCGTAAAATAAAGTTATTTATTATTTATCACCTATTTTTGGTGTTCTGTAGTGGTAGACATTCTACCACTACAGAATGAATTAAAATTTCCATACATGCATAGATACCCTTCTAAAAAAAACGCTCTAAGGTATTTTTAATTACGTCAGATTGTTGGAAATCCTGCTGCAGGGCTTTGTTTATGCCGGGACAATGAATTCAGTGGGACATGTTTATACAGCGGGATAATTAAATTCTGCTGGTGTCTGTTTAAAATTAAATCACGTTGAATATTTATGAAACCGAGATGTTTGCCATTACATTGTGGAAGTGTCTAGCTGGACGGTCTTTTACTTGACTCTACTTCGATTGTCGGAATATTATAAAAAAATTTATCCATGTCGCAGTTTATTTATTATTATTATTTTATTCTCGATATTTACAACGAACTGCAATCATTAAAAGGAGACAAGCACAAGGGTCATTTTAGTAGGTAGTATGATAAAAACATAATTATTTACCTATGTGACACAAAAAAAAGAACAATATTTGAAAATGGATTTGTTTAATTTGTTTCTATCGAATCGAATACGTAAATCAGGGTAATTGTGACTTTTGCATACACGTTTACATGTAATGGTTAACCGATCTGATAGTTATCCGGTACAGAAAGACTATACAGTTCCTTAAATAAAAACATATGTTGATTTGTCTTTCCTTTCATATGAAGTGTAAACAAATCACATGAATAATTCTAAATATATTTAAATTTAATTTAACTAAATCTATATCATTACATCCGTCACCTACTTTTTATTTATACGTTTTATAACAGTTTTCAATAATAAAAAAAACCCTATGGAACAGAGATAATTTTTTATACCGAAAAATTACACACGCCAGTAAAATTTTTTGTAATAGTGACAAATAAGGGACTGCATTCTTCAGAGCTAGATTCTTTTTGGGCACCACAAATAAATAGAATAAACAATAGAGAATACTAATAAAAATGTTATTAAAACATATTTTAAAGATACAGTACATTAAAATTTTGATACGACAATTTGTACAATAACATTGAATATTTTTATCAAGAGACACGAAAAATGCTAATTAAAAAGTTAATTAAATTTAAATATTTAAAAGCTACATTAAGTATCAAGCTAATGTCAGTTTAAAGTAAATTTATCGATTTATTAATTAATCTCTTTGAGTTAAATGTATCGGCTTTTAACAGCGTTATTTTTAAAATTTATATTACAAAGTAAATAATCAGTATTTTTGCTATAATTTTAGCACCTTACTGATTTCTCCCTATAATTTTTGTATTCTTTATAAAATATAAAATTAAAGTACAAGAACTACGAACAAATTGTCAATTAACTAATGAATTTTATCATAATAGCAGTGGCACATATTGTTATTACCAATGTAATACCTTTAAGATTTTTTTTGTGAATATATGCAGGCGATATTTTTGCAATTTGGCCAATTACCATTGAGAAAATCGATATTTTTCTAGATAATATTAACAATAACGAACAATTAAATTCACTTCACTTTCTAGACAAAAATAGCAATTATGTAGAAACAAGTTTAATTAAATGTTTTGTATTTCTTAAAAAATATGTTCAATAATAAATGAGTGTACTTATAAACAATCAGTACCCTTGAAATTTTATCGAAAGGATTTTTTGGGCACATTGAAAGAAAAACAAATTCCGTCAGACAACAAAGGAAAATGACATACAAAATAAAAATGAAATATATTTGTATAATTTCCTGTATTTTGAAAATAAAGGACGATGAACACATAGTCCAACAAAAAAATTTCTTTTTTTCTTTTTCCTCTAATTTTTCAGTGGCTAAATTCTACCTACATCGTACATTATTAAGTGTGGGTAATAATAAATTTCTCCGCATGACTCCCATCCCCAACTACTCAGCAATTAAATATTAATAGCCGCACACGAACCAAAATAATTACGTATCAATAAACCCTGCTTTATGAACTAGAAAAATATGTACCGCATGATACCGACAATACACTGACCCCCTAACAGAGCCGCTGCACCTTTCTCTAGCCGGGCTGAAAGTTCCAATAACCCGCACAAGAGAGGAGGAAAGTATATATACCACCGGCACTCAATTTCTTTACTGCTTTTCAGTATCCACACGCATAATTCGCAGTGCACCCGTGAAAATGAAGGATCTCCTAAGGTGTTTACCCCTGTTGATAGTGTCATGTGCGACGTCGTACCCCATTTCGCAGCCCGTCTACCCTAACAACCAATACATCAGTGCCCAGGCTGTGCCCTCCGTAACTTACAGGCAACCGTCAGCCCCAGGGTACGACCCCCGGGTGCAGTCCCAGTACGCGAGACAACCCGTGGCGACTCATCCTGTGTACGAGACGAGGCAGAGGGAAGGGTTGCAGAACTATGCTTCCTACTCGTCGCCGCAGCAACCCATTCAGCAGGTGCTGTTGACCACCGGCGTGGACAGACAGGTGAGATCGTCGGCTAGTCTGTATTGGTGAACGAGATGTTGCGAAATTAGATCATCTGCGAGACCCCAGAAGCAAAGTTTACAGAATATTTATTCTGTTTTTCCTGTGGAAATGTCTCTATCCTCAAAATTGTTTTTTTTTAGTCTTTTAGTGATATCATTTCCAATCTACAGGCTGTTACAAATTCGCTTCTCACTGCAGGGATCCCGGAAACGGTACGAGGTACGAAGTAGCTTAAATGGGGCAAAGTTGTGTAATCAGGGGTCCAACATTATGCCTCTAAAAAATCAAGGCTAACGTGATTAGTTTCGGAAATATTTGAAAAAAAAAAAACGAAATTTTGGAAATCCGTTTTTGTTTCATTTCAGTCATGTGATTAGATGATATTGAAAAAAGAAGAACACTTTCTCATGACCACTTCTTGCCCTTAATCGAATGGCAGGACCATCATCAACTTCATTTGTTTAAATACGATCCTAGAAATTTTATTACATTTTTTGCAAGCCTTCATGACCCCAATACTGTCCTGTCTCAGCCCGAACCAGATCCAGACGTATTGTCTCGAAAAATTCATCTTCAGTGTATCCGTTCCAAATTTATATAAATTTTTTGTTTAGATTTCTTTGTCTATTGAATTATCGTACACTGTAAGTATCGTTAGATGCTGTGAAATCCATCTAATTATTTAAACTATTACCACCGTGCATTAAAATAAAACATTATTAGAGTTTTATTCCCGTGTCCATAGTTATTTCTAGGCTTCGAGTGCTCAAAATTCAAACAAATCCCGATCTATTTTTTTCAGGATATTCATACAAATACATCTGACATGCTCTTTCACAGTTGCGGTTACAGATACAATAAATTTCGATAATATTACGCTGATCTTTATTTTCAACCTTTGCCAAAACGAAAATGTTTTTGAACATTTACTGAAATTTTTTAAAGAACAATATTCAGTTGGCGTTTTGGTTGTTAATATGCATTTTTAAGAATTAATTTGTCATAATAAAATTAAAATTGTAATAATGTTTTAATTTTGATGCAACAACTCATTGAGTTATGTATGACCAAGTGATGGTGATAGTTAATAATAATAAATGTTTTATTGTAACGCGTGGTGGTAATAGTTTAGATAACTAGATGGATTTCACAGGGTATGACGACACTTACGGTGTACGATAATTCAATAAACAAAGAAATCTAAATAAAAAAAATTATATAAATTTGGAACAGATACACTGAAGATGCATTTTTCGAGACAAAACGTCTGAATCTGGTTCGGGCTGAGGCAGTACTGTGTTGGGGGTCATGAAGGCTTGCAAAAAATGTAATAAAATTTCCAGGGTCGTATTTAAAAAATGAAGTTGATGATGGTCCTGGAGAGACGAAACGTTACATACAAAAATTGATTATGCCAGTCGATAAAGGGCAAAAAGTGGCCATGAGAAAGTGTTCTTCTTTTTTCAACATTACCTCAAACAAGGCTGAAATGAAACAAAAATCAATTTCCAAAATTTCGGTTTTTTTCACACATTTCGAAAACTAATCATGTTAGCCGTGATTTTTAGAGGCATAATGTTGGGCCCCTGATTACCGAATTTGCAACAGCCTGTATTTATCTGCTAGAAGTTGGTGGCTAAGATTTTTTTCTGTGGTATTCTATCATATTATTTTATATAAAAACAAACAGGTCTTGCTGAAATTGCTGAAAACACACCATTTTTGAAGAAAACGCAACTGTCTGCCCAAAGTTAACCGGCTTATATTCCTTATATTCTTTAATATATAAGGTGTTCAGAATCTAGGAGCCATATACAAAGGTAGCTTCTTTGATTAAATGAATTAATAAAAAATTATGGGCTCTAAAAAATAATGTACCTATAATCCGTTTCAATAATTGGTAACGGAACTTTTTAAGAAAGCGTTAATTGAACTAAAGTAACTTAATTAATACGGACTATTCGTTTCCAAACACCATGTATATTAAGCAATCACAGCTAGTTGACTTTGAGACAGTCAATTGCGTTTTTCTCAAAAACGGCGCATTTTCGGTAATTTTAACAAGAAACCGTTTTCGTGTAAAAGGAAATTCTACATTATAATATATGACATACACCGTAATACACCTAACCTCAAAGAGGTTATGCCATAAAATGTCGCTGGGAAAGGTCGTAGTTATCAATTATCAAAATTATCAATATTTTATTCAAAAACGGCGCATTGCAGGCAAAGTTGGCAAATATCATGATATTTATATAATTATCAAATATCGGATATATATCTTGATATATATCCGATATATATATCAAGTCTTGATATTTATTTTTTAATTAATTAGTTTACGTATAATATTATTGTTGCGAAATAAAATTAAGAAACTAATTAGGTAAATATTTTTATTTCAAATATGAAAAACGAGAACGGAAAAATGAATATAAATTCTGAAACTAATAAAAAAATATTTGTGTGAATATTCAGTACTACGAAAACTAACCAATTTACACCAAGTCAACATAAATTTCATAAATATTAAAACAAATACAAACACACAGTACCTGCTCGAATTGACTAACAACACCTGGAGAAATAATGAAATAAAAATATTCATTCAATTTTACTTTGTTGAAAAATTCGAAGGATCACATAAATAAACACGTTCATCAACGATTAGCATACGGTTTTGCTGCCATCTGTTAACAGTTTAGGCAACTTTAAACCAGTAAGAATCATTATTTAATTTTTTATAAATATCATGATATATATCAAGAAATAAATATCGTGATAGATATCAGTGATATATATCAGATATATATCATGCCAACCTTGATCGCAGGACAGAAAATCAAGAGAGCTCTTATCTTTTGAACTGAACGAGGATTTCAAAAAAATTTATTTGGGAAAAACCATCGGCGTACCATTTTTTTTCTTTAAAAATATCAGTGAGTGCTCGTACGCACGCCACTGTTAGGGTTGAAAGTTATGTTTGTATTGAAAAACATGCGCCTCTTATCACTACGTACACTGAAATATCTCAAGCGGTTTCGAAAATATGAATTAATTTCCTTCTTTTTCCTAAAATTTTAACACCCCGTATTTTCGCAAATCAACATTTTTGGTCCATATCATTAATTTTTTTCGATATAGAATTACACCCGTAAATATTCGCATATCATTAAGGAACACCCTGTATTAGATTTATTTCAGTGTAATACATTGTTTTCTATCTAATATTTGATTAAAAAAAATAAATTTAACATTTTGTGTTTCAAAAATAAAATTTGTGGTAGTAATGTTGAAAACACCCTGTAAGTATATCCAGCAATGATATGAATGTTCATTTACGTTGGCGTTCATTTACATTTTAACAGCTGTAAAAATCCGCAAACCAAAATTGTATGAAGGACTATATCCTAGGTGCAGAAAGCGGCCCAAATAGGCGGACCCAACTACCTCCAGCAGGTCCAGGCGACCCAGCTGGCTTCTCAGGCCCAAGAGGCCTTCGCCGCGGCCCAGAGAAAAGCCAGCTCGCAGACCTTCAACAACAGACCCATACAACCCGCTCCTGTAGCGGTGGCGACCCAACAACAGCCCCAACAGTACGTCAGGGAGCAACCCCTTAGGTACATCTCCAGACCGGTGACGGCGCAGTACAGGGTGCAGCAGCCCCAGCAGGACGCCAGGGAGAAGGAGAACGAGGAAGATTACGACGTAAGTAAAAAATGACCGAGAGGGGAATATTTTTCAAAAGTGTTAACCCAAGGGTGTGTTCTAATTGGCGGTGGACACAACGAATTTCTTAAAAGTTAATATCAGTGGACACAAAATTGTTTTATTAGAAAGTTCCATTTATAGTTTTTTAAAGGAATTTCAAAACCTAAAGGAAGTCTTTCCCAATTTAACTTATTGGCAAGGGGGCGATGCAATTTAGAAAGGTAGTAATTGGTCGGTAACATGCAAATGTCATGGTTCTGGTTAGTCGTGTTCGCCAGTTTCACTCAATTGAAACATTTTTTTGAATATTTCAGTTGATACAAATAGGGACACATGTTTCTACCAAATACTTGCAAAATGTACCATTACTTACACATAGTTCAAACGATTGTTCAACAGTAATCATTAATTATTTCAGTTTTCATATAAATACGCAAAAAATAATACATTTTTTTTTAATTGCATTGACACTAAAATGTGTTAGCATAGATGTAAGGAATATGAATTTATCCCAAATAGAAATATGTGCCAAAATTTTAAGCACAATTTTAAAACAACAAGTTTTCTCTTAAATATAAATGTAGGTATTACATAAAAGTTGTGCTTTTGATGAGTGGCTAAAATTTCGGTATTTATTTGTTGGACATACTGTTATAAAGCAAATACTAATATATAAAATATTTCGCATATTTTCATAAGTAATTAATCGGGAATGTTTTGCAAAAGCAAATTGCCGTGTAATTATCGTTAAAAAGCGCCGTTATTAATTTTGAGCAACAATGGTTGCAACCGGGGTCGTTGAAGCATAAAAGTTTTCATTCAGCAAATTACGGTGATTCATCGTGATTATTACAAGCTCACACGAATGTTTTCTCGATTTGGAAAGTGCGTGTGCGTATCATCATAAAACTAATTACTTGTATTCGGAACGGTTTTACTATTGTGGCATGAAAATAATATGTAGGTATGAATTAAACACTCTCGCTTTCTATTGTGCAATTAAAATAGATTTATTATAATTATTTTATCAAGATTTACGTATAATTCACGCAAAACGTCGTTTCTATACTTAAACATCCTGTTATATGAGTACACATCTCAGTTTACATCCATTTTCCAATCGACTGTTACACATAGTGTGAAAGTAAATTATTTGTTACGTGAAGCAGAAAAAAATGATCTAACTTTTACTTAAGGTCTAACAGCCCACATTAAAAGCTAGTTTACGTAACGAAATGTTTCTATGATAAACGCGAGATTGAAATAGCTGCATAATCACAATTTCCTTTAAACGTTTCACATGACGGACTATGGGAACAACTTTCCCATATCCCGAACGGTAATTTCTGAAAACGCAACATATTTGCTTGTATAAATCAATGTTGATCGGAGCATTAGTGTGCAGAGTAGTTGTTTCCCGTAACGTCGTCGGTTTGAAAATGTGAATATATTGTTTATGACTGTTTCAGCCAAATCCCTCCTACCAGTTTGGATTTGACGTAAAGGACGATCTTTACACCAACTACCAGAACAGGAAAGAGCAAAGGGATGGGAATAAAATCACGGGAAGTTACTCGGTTGTGGATTCGGATGGGTTTATTCGTACTGTGCAGTACACCGCCGATCCAAAAGAAGGATTTAAAGCTGAGGTAAGTCGGTGGTTAGGAAAAAATATATGTACGCATATTGAAAATTTGCACAATAGTATTTATTATTTGAGTAAGCTTATAAATGTATTTACTATAATGTTGTTACATATATTCACAATTTTGTTGTTGTCAGAATATTCACTATGGGATATATAGGTAAATGTTAAATATCGAAAAAGAAAGAAAAAAATTAATAAATATATTTTTTTTGAAATTCACAGTACTATACAATAAATTTTTTCAAAATTACCTTTTCTGTATTTTAAAAAAAATTAACGATGGTGTATAAATATTCTCAAAAAGTATTTTCGATTTTTTTTTTATATTTAACATTTTCAATTTAAAAAAAGTGAATAAATGATGCAAACTTTATCCTCTAACAGATTTTTATCAAAAGTGACAATTTCAATCATTCGGATCATAATGAAAGAAAAATAGCAGCGGTATGAACTCTTAGGGGTTTCTTTGAAGTTAAAAAAAACGAAAATATTCAATTTTTTACCTCGTTTTGAATCATTTCTTGCATCGAAATTTTTTTAATAAAAACCCATAAAAACGTCTTATAGAGGATAGTTGAAGTTTTCAATACCCTGCTTAGATTTTCTGTACGATCGTTATAGTAATTAATTATCAAAGCCAAAAGTAATTTTTTAAAAAATAAAATTCCGCTGGTCAACAAAAATTTTTTTTTACTTTCATATCCTGACACTAGAAACTTCATGCTTCAATTTGTTTTTATTTTAATTACTCTACCATTTTTAGATAAGTTACACCAATTTGAAAATCACTTAAATACTTTAGATTTTAATATTTATAACTAGTTTATATGTATCTCAAACACATGAAAAGTGATTGATTACTCAATGTATAATAGAATTTATCAAAGTATTTAAATTTGCCCTAAATACTGTACTGATTTCTCTTTGCACTTTCCTTCGAAATTATATAGTATTAATTAATTGAGAGCAATTCAAATAAGAATAATTTTATAATTTACGAATACATTGGTTACATGTATTAATAATTACGTAAGGAAAGTCTTTGACCCTTAACGACGTGGTTACAATCTACGATTTACCTAAAATCGATTTCGAACTTACTCCAGATTTTTTGTTGAACTGTTTAATTAATTACTTGCTATATTACTTGCTATATTGCATTGCTATACAACTTTCAACCGATATAAAGTTAAATTCGAGGGGAAAACCGCAGGAGTAATTTGGTGTACAAGCTTGAGTAATATTGAGTAATAATTGAGTAATATTGAGTAATAATTGAGTAATTCCGAGTAATACCCGAGTAATTCGGAGTAATAGTAATGCCATCTAGTTGAAGCCTACACCGCAACCATTAGCGATATGTAACTTTACCGTGACATGTAGGTACAAGTGTTGCGCCCATTTATGTATAATTATTGTTCTTGTGATTAGTGTTTGTGAATCATCCGAAACTCTTTAAAATAGTAAGCGGTCATCGTCAAACTATTTTAATGATGGAAGACTATTTCAAAAAAGCCAATCAGTCCTCGAGCCGAGAATCGGAATTTTTGAGCAAAGGTCGAGTTCAAACAATGTCAGCCTCGGTCAGAGTCGTCTTCGGTGGATTAAAGAACACCAGATTTGAGTGAGGAGAATGCCCTCTTATCAAGAATTTTAAAAATAAAAGTGATAAAAACGTATGGTCCAGTTGAACTTACAATTAGTGGAAGTGGCCCTTTCGAATTAAACAGAATTAAACAGAATTGACAGTTTGAATATTCCAAGAACTTACAAATTAGCAAAAAGAAGATACCTACATTTATTTCCAAGTTTGGTTTTTTTTACTCCTAGCTGCATTTTAATTTAGTTGATGTTGTTTAGTCCTAAGATGCAATATTTGTTATTTTGTTTTTTTGTAAAACCAAATTGGGTTGTATACAAATAAACAAAAATTTGTGCTACAGTTTGTATTCGCTGTTTATTTACCATTACCTTTTTTCGAGCCTTTCTCCTTTATTGAATAGCATGATTGTACTCCACTAACATGGTAAGCGACAATTAATCTTGAGTAATACAAATAACATTTGCGTAAACTGAGTCACGTTTGAGTAATGGGAGTAATACTTGTGTAATATGAGTAATATTTGGGTAATGAGTAATATCCTAGCAATAGTGAGTAATATTTAAGTAATAGTGAGCATTATTTACCAAAATGAGCATTTTAGTGTACAAATTTTAGTCAGCGGTTTCCCCCTCGGTTAAATTAGTTGAATTCAGGAAGTTGTTACTTCCGAAACTTATTTTTATTCATAAATGTGCTTGTCCTTGCTTCACAGGACCATTTTGTTTGTCTAAAGTTAAAGCAAATGCCTATTTTCGGTTTAATATACGCAAAGAAGTGTAACAGCTTTGATTCACTTTTTATACTACCTTACTATTTTTTTTCAGGTGACTCGTCAGCCCACCGACATCGTGGTTAAAATCCCAAAGCCGGACCCTCAGTTCCAAAACATCCAAAGGCCTCAACAACAGCGATATGTTCAGGTGGGAGGAAATTCACTAATCGACGATGCATAACGTTTATAATCATTCCTTTGCATTTTAGGATGCTCCAAGGGGTCACCAGGACCAAAGACCATCGAATGCAATATATCAGTACCAGTAATAGCTTTAATAAATTTTTATGATAAATACCCGAAGTGGTTACTAGGGAAAAAAATGTCCACAAATCACTGGAAAATGTAAAGTTAGGTGTTATAATTTGTTGTACAAACTTGTATAATTCTGGTTAAGTTGTTGATTCGTTTGTTTCGGTAATTTATTTCTATGTGTAAAAATAAATTTGTATTTTGTATGTTTCGTTATGTTTCGTTGTGTTTCCCTGGACCACAAAACAACCTATTTATTTAATCAAATATCTCTGAAGATATCTGATGTAAGTAGATGAAACTTTGACTTTGTTTTAGTTGGTTTATTGTGAGTGAAATAGAGTAATAAAAAATGCCAGAGCAAATAATAAAACACGTTTTTTTAATAGAAATATTTTTTCTTGAATTTATAAATCTACAACTAGACGTCATTTCCGAAGTACTTAAAAGAGTTAATATTGGGAAATAGTTTTATATGAATGCAGGAAATATTCGATTTTTTTATACTAAAGAAATAAAAAGTATAGGAAAAACTTTTTAATGTTGCCAACATTAGTAAGCTATTAATTAAATTTTCATTACACATTATATTTCTATATTCCCATATATACTTTAGAACTGCACTTTTATCAATTTAATTTGTTTGTATTGTCTGCATTTTAACGATAATTACTGTATTAAATAGAAAACACCAATTACACACCATAAGTTGCGCCGAGATCTTCGAGAAAGACTGACCTTCATCATGTAAGTGAAATATCATAAAAATCTACATTTGTTTTTCTGCTAATTAAAAATGTTTCCATCGTTATTACCTAAATTAATTTTTTAGGTATGAGAAACTGAAGTATATTTACAATATGTGGTTTGGACCTTTAACGACATTTGAAGGTAAGTAGTGCTCGGTTAACAACAAAGCACTTACAAAAACTATCTTCTAGGAGATACGATAGCAGTTCTGATGCATTTCAGCACCTTACTAATTCGAAATAGGCTACAGAGATTCATATGTACATTATCTAGTATGGTTATAGGTTTCAGCCTCCTATACTTTCTATGCTATGTGGTCTTTTCGAGACCGAGCCGAATGGAAGTCATGGGATTCATGGCAACGCAGTTAAACACACTTCACGTAAGTTTTGTTGACGCGTGTACTTAAAATTTTTGCGTTACATTTAATTTATTTGCAAACTTTTACATTGAATTAAAATTCCATGAAGCTCTCTTTGTAATTTACACGCATGTTACAGTTTTATATATCGTACTGCATTATCCTGAGATACAAAGGGACGTATTTGGAGATAATTGACGCATTTTTAAAGATTAGTAAACCCATAGCCACTGGCAGTGACGAATTAGTGGCAATCATTAAGAAAGACAGCAAGTTCGTGGTGAAGCTGGTATTTGTGTTTCTTTCCGCTGTTGCAGTGAACACAAGTCTATTTCTCCCGTGGACGGGGGACGAAGATACAGTTCTATTCGTATTAAATCGCATTCATCTGTATTTTGGAGAGAGTTCCTTTAGGTCGCTTCTAGTAATAGTCGAATATATCTTCTTTTACCACGTTTCATTCACTGCCACAATTCCGATGATCGCGACAATTTATTACATGTTACACATAAAATTTCAACTAGCCTTGTTGATCGAGAACGTTGAAAGGTTGAACCTGCTCGCGCACGAAAATGTTCCGGAATTAAAAATATACGATGTAAATTTCCAGAGGAAGATAAAACGACGGTTGGTCTCTTGCATCAGGCACCACCACGGAATCAAAACGTACTTATTTGTAACTGAATTTGACAAATAGAATAAGAAATATATATTTTTCAGCTTTAAAGAAAAACTTAATGACGAAATAATATACTGGCCCACTTTTATTTTATCTGCCTCTGCGGTGGTAGTGGAAACGAGTTTAATAATATTTTACCTAAGCGTAGGTATTACGTAATTTTATACCATTCATGCGTCAATAACGTTTGTTTTTAGAAAATAAATCCGTCGAGTAACTACAGAATGATATACACTTGGTTTTTGATGACACTGGGACACACTGTATTTGCCATGGCAGGGCAGACAATCGTAGACGAGGTGAATATATTTTTAACCAATCTATAGTTTTGTCCACAAATGCTTGTTTGCAGTCCGAGAGACTTTATATAGCACTTAAGTGCAGTAACTGGTACAATTTTGACAAAAACAACTGTCGTTTGTTAACGATTTTTCTAATTCAAACCCAAGAACCGATGGTAATCACTTCGTCGGGAATCATCGGTGTGAGCAAGGAGCTCATACTTAAGGTAACTTAGAAAACGAGACAGAAATCTGTACACTGTACAGGGTTATTCAAGCTATACGGCATGGAATATTGTGGACAAAATACGAGACTCAAAAAGTTTTCTCTTTTGGGATATATGGGGGTTTAAATGGAATCCTCTATCCATTATTGCTTTTTTAGATTCTTTGATCAAAATAACTGTCTGCTTAATAAGGTTTATAATATCTAAACTTTAAGGTTTTTAAAATAATTTGAATTTTATCAAAATGTAACCTAATTTTATTATTTCAAATACTTAAGAAGTGTGTCAGGTATGTAAGTAAAATTTACAGTGAAGTGTAACAATAGATCATATTTTATATATCTAAAAATTAAAATTAATTGAATAAGAACTTTGAGTGGCTATAACTTGATTAATTTAAATAGAACGCCATATTTTTTAACTTCCCAGAATATATAATTTTTAATTCTTAGCCAAGTCTTCGCGTTTTTACAGAATACGCCAAATAATCATTCTTTGCACCATTTCGTGTATTTTACATAAAAGTTCCGATATATCTAGTTGTCTAGAAGGCGGAGAAAATATTTTTACGGTACTTGGTTCAGTTATCGAAAATTCCAGTATTATTCATTCAGCTTTGCCAAGAACTTCATGGAAATGATTTTGACAACCGAATGAATTTTGCATGTGGGTGTTAGATAAAGTGACAGGAAATGTAAACTTTTTTGATAAAGTGTTATTTAGTGATTAATGCACTTTTCATAAAAATGGTTACGTGAGATTTCTTTTTATGGGGATACATAAAAGAAATTGTCTCCAATACGCCTCCGACAAATCCACAAGATATGAAAATATGCATAAGAGATGATTTTGAAACTGTAACCCCGCAAATGTTGTCCAGAGCTAGCAGTGGTTTTGAAAAAAGAATTTGACAGTGTCTGGAAACAGACGGTCGACATTTCGAACACCTGTTATTAATATTTTGCTTCTGTTTTATGTTATAGTTGATATGTTAGTTAGAACTTGTATGTAAAACACACGAAATGATGCAGTGAACGATTATTTGGCATATTCTGTAAAAACGCTATGGACACCCTAATACCATTCGATAGGTAATTAAAAATTACATTTTCTGGTAAGTTAAAAAATATGGCGTCTTATTTAAATTAATCAAGTTATAGCCACTAAAAATTTTTATTTTATTAATTTTAATTTTTAGACACCCAGTATAAGATGGCAAGTTTATTATGATTGGTAAATAAAATATGATCTATTGTTACACTTCCATATAAATTTCGCTTACATATCTGATATACTTCTTAAATATTTGAAACAAGAAAATTAGGTTACATTTGGATAAAATTCAAATTATTTAAACATACACTTATTTTGATCGGAGAATAGAAAATGCAATAATATGTAGATTACATTAAAAAAACACAACTTTGATACTTTTAGGGCATTTGGGAAAGAGAAACTTTTTGAAAGCCTCATTTTTTTGGCCACAATAGTGTTTGCCGTACAGCGTAAAAACCCTGTGTATTGAATACCAACTCTGTTTCAGTCTTACAAAGTTCTCTACTCTCTCATAACGTTCTACAACAGTATGTCTTCTAAGGATCCTAAGAAGTAAAAGAAAATCTGCACCGAATTTTCCTAGGCATAGTTTAATAACTAATAAAAAATAATTAACATATACAGTGTGTCCCCGGATGGGGTACCGCAAAAAGTTTTGCTTATCTTGGGAAACCATGGGCATTTCAAAATGTGTTCGTGTTAAAAACTGTATTTAACAAAGTTTAAGTTAGGGATACTTAAAGCAAAATGTAAATTCAAACGAAAGTTTACAAGAGTGCTATAGGTAGCCCATACGGGGACACACTATTTATTATTAGCTTTGGCATAATCATCACAAAGCACATAAAAACTTTAAATCTGCACAGAGCAAACATATGTACCTATCTACAACGTTTTCCCGACTCTTATAAAAGATAAAAAATTTTGAGTGTTTAAAAAATAGTCAACTGAGATTCTGCCCCGAGTATTTCTGAAACAAAATCTGCTTGGAAATTTGCAAAAATCTAATCTTATTCTACCACGATCATAAAAATCTTTTATTCCTATTATTTTCACCTGCCTAGGAACACGCTGTTTATGTAAGAAAAATATTTAATTTAATAGTAATCGAATGAAAATTTGTTTAAGTAATGTTAATGACGTTGATAATCTATTTACTTATATGGTACTGAAATGTTTGATGTCAAAAAAACACAATTTTCAAACATTATAAATTGCTTATGCTATTCCACTTGGCGACATTCCCATGTACATTAAAACTGTGCTTTTATCAACCCAGTTCCTTTGTGCTTTCTGCATACTAATGATAATTACTGCATTAAATAGAAAATTCTCATTAAACACCATCATTAGCATCGAGATCTTCGAGGAAAGCTAAACCGAAACCCAGCATGTAAGTGAAATTTAAAAAGTTAACTTTTGTTATTTAATGACTCGACTTTTCGCGTTTTCACGTACTTTAGTGATAAAACTAATTGATAACTTACTCGCTAAATTAATTGTTAGGTGCGAAAGACTTAGGTATATTTACAACGAGTGGTTCGGACCTCTCGCGACATTCGAAGGTAAGTGATGCTCATCTTTAGTTATACATCTGTAGCAGATCAACATCTTTCAGGGGACACCATAGCAGCTCTAATGCATATTAGTACCTTGATGGGCCGAAACAAGCTACAAAGACGCATATGTATGCTCTTCAGTGTCTTTGCTGGTGTCTGCGTTTTGGATTTTTTATGCTACATAATCTATGCCAGACCTAGCCGAAGAGAAATAATTGGATTTTTGACATTGCAGCTAGCT